GTTGGTTTGTTGAATTAACCGATATACATGAAATGGGAAGCATACACACCATTTTATTTCCTTCCATTGTACTCTCACCGAGGTACTAGTGCATTTCGGTTCCCACATAAAACCCACATTCATTGTTGGTCATTGGCTGCTCTAGCTAGGGTATGCATTTGCATATAATCAACATCGAATTAGATCATCCTGTCCCCTTCCATATTTTCCTTGACTCTATGTGGCATTATAAAGTGTGAAAGAATGTGACATTAGAATGTGCTATGTGATTAGAAAATTATATGTCATTGGCTTCACTTACTCATTTAGCACTCTGAGTAGGTTTTTGATTTGAGAAAGTTTCCTTCTATTCGGGTCCCACACCTCAACACGTGATCTGCAGGAAAGAATTAGCCTTCGTGGTGAGGTTAACCGAGCATTGCATGGGTGTTAACCCGAAGAGACATGGTGCTACGATTGCAGGATTTGGGTCATTGTGGTAGGAAGCCAGATCGTGTGTGCCAAATCTCCACAAAATCAATAGTTATCTTTATGTAACAGAAGACCGGGTACCTCGCTCCCATCAAGTAGTAATTTGAGCTTCAGATGTCATTATCAACTTCATTCTTTATCCTAATTTAGTCAATTTTGCCATTGTCCTATAAATCCAAAAAAATGCCCAACAAAATTTTGGTGTTAATCGTTGTTTTTCATTGTCCCAAAACTGTTTGCGTCTTTGTAGTGTATTTTATTTCAGTTTGCTTTATTCAATTGTTGTTCCTCGTGGGTTGTCGTGCTCATTGGTTTAATCGAGTCTTGGTTTAGTCTCTCGTGGAGTCTTGTTTGCTGTTCTGATCCTTCGTATTTTGGTTGTCATCACTTGGTGCGTTCGTCTGGAGTCCGTAGGGGACATTGGTGGATATTACAGTTTTTTACATAGTGCCGCAAGAGAAAAAGAGAGAGAAAGAAGAATTATCCATCACATGTGATACTACTAGTTCTAAAAGTAAGGTCTCCCAACTATTCATATTATACAGTGTGGCACTTTCTGGTAATATAAAAGTTTAAAAAAAAGACAAAAAGGTGCAAAGAAAAGGAAGAAAAAGCCACACCAAAAAAAGAAATAGAAATAGAAGTAAAGGAAAAAAATCTTTGAGAAGTGCTCTCATTCTTAGAGTCTGTCGTACTAAGTTGTATTGTTGCTTGCTTGAATTAGATTCACGACGAGTTTAGCCAGACGACTAACTTAGATTACTTTCCAGTTTTGCAAAATTTTTGAATTAAACTATTGTCATTCCTTGCTATTTTTGACCTTCCAAGCTCTAGATATATAATTCTACTTACACCAAAGCGATGGTTCAAACTTCAGTTAAAATCAGGCACTCCTTCCCTCTACAGGTACGAGTAACTCTGATGTATGTAGTAACAATCACCAAGCCTCCGTGTGAGATGGAGGCGTTCGGATTGGTGGATTGTGCATACGAGTAGCGCGTTCGGATTGGCCTAATAGCAATCGCAGATCATAAACGTCATTTATGTTCACCGATCGATGCATGACAAGTAAGGGTATGTACAGTTCACAGATGGGGAGTCGTCTGTAGACGTCTTGAATTTATCATAGAGACGGATAAAAAGGCTTGATCATACAATTCAGACGGAGGTTGTGTGCAAACTGTTTAATATTTTACATGTAGTCAAGATTAATCATACGTACCATTTTATATACACTGTGTTGCTATTTGATAGATAAACTATAATACCTTATTGACAAGCAATTTAGAAAATACTTGCTTCCGTTATATCTTTACATGTGGATCAAACATACTAAATTATAAAGAATATGCAACAAAAATTCCATGTCAATTCTACCAGGGAAATAATTGCAGGTTCCAATTCAGATAGCCTGCTTAGCCCCAATTATTGAAACCACCCACGCGTATGCCCCAAACGAAGAGAACTCAAGTACTAAGTACTCCTAGTAGTATATTGAGGAAGGAAAGCGCCTGTCAATTTTGTGATGCAGGACTGTGACATGTAGCTGAACACGTGGAGCCTCGAGAGTGACCCAAGCAAGCAAGAGATTCGACACTTCAAACTCATCATCATCATCAGTTCGATCCTCGGCTCAATGCAACTCTGAAATTTCAAGCAAATCATTCGTCTCGTCTCCTCGCATACCTATCATCTGCTCGTCGTTTCCCTTCTTTGCGACGGTGAAGTCTTGGGGCAGAAAAAATGGTGGAGAACGGCGTTAAGCAGCCCCTGTTACAGGGCGGCGACCCTCCTAACGCCGGGCACGCGAAGTCGCCTCCGGGAGCTGGGGCAAGAAGGTTCCGGCGCTGCAGGACGGCGCCGTCCACCGACGCGGCGCAAGAATCTCCTCCGCGGAGCCAAGACGACCCGAGCCTGCAGCGCGGCAGCGCAGCTGGCACCCAGCTGGCGCCGCTCAAGCCGAATTTTTTATATTTTGGCTTTTTTTTTTTTTTTGAAAGTTTCTCATAAATAGATCCCTGGCGAAAAAAATTCAGAAAATGGACCCTTACCTCGGCGCCTAGGCGTCAGCGTCTCTGACGCCGAGCTGCTGGGCACGGTGAAAATGCCTGCTAGGGGGCTCGGCGCCGGTCACTCTAGCGCCGAGCCTCCTGCAATTTAAAAGTGCATGCAGTGTAGTGGCGAGTAGTACATGCTCACTTTTAAAAGTGGATGCAGTGACGTAAACTGACACAACGCATTCAATTGGACTTGAAGAGTTACATCAGAGTAGTACATTCAATGGGACCGTGCAGTGCATGCAGAGGAGCAGATGGTGCATCGCATTCAATTACTTCAAGAGTCACATCAGCTAGCGCCTATTTATTTGCGTATATTTGTTTCTTGTACGAGTAGATTACATCTCAGTAGAGAGAAAAGTATGTGGCTAAGATAGTTGTATCACTGAGAAATTAAATATTCTAATATGATCTACCCTCCCTGTTTAAATTAGACTTCATCAAGGATCAGTCTTAAGCCCGTATCTCAGTCATTTCAGTCTTATTCCTCCGCTCTTACTAAAAAGAAGATTGGATGTGATTGAAAGTTAAGGAAACAACAGAATCCGTGATTTCTAAAAGCAAAATGGAAAGCTAACATGGCACAAACAGCAGAGGTGCCAAGGAGAAATTATTAATACACACAAAGTTATTCGATAGAAGAAATTCAATATCTAGAGTCCCAAATGATTGTCTATCGTTCTGTTCGCTTGGTCGTAAACGATCGTTTCAACCTCAGCCGAATAGGCTGTATATTGTTGAATAACTAAAGTGCATTTTAGGACCTATAATATACTTATTTAACAAAATAGAAATGAGATTTTTGAATAAAAGCAACGGCAACTCACTAGAGTTTCAACATAAAATATGGAGAAAAATATTTAGTAGATAATAAGAACTAAAATTGAAAGCTGGAATAGATTTATGAGGTCATGACATATGTCATTATAATCTGTAATACAACCTAGTCCTTGCTGCCCCCCTTTTTTTTTGGTTTCAGAGTCTAATTCATCATTAGTTCCATGCATGTAGCTGAACAAAAAATGGAAAAGGAACTAAAAGAACGCGACGACAAATATGTTGAGCTGGATACCAAGTTTCTGAGGCTTCACAAGCGTGCAAAACAACGTATACAAGATATACAAAAGGTAAGAAGTAACCAATTTTTGATCTGTTGACATGGACGCCTTGCTAATATGTGATTTCCAATTCTAAGCTTTCTTAGAAAATAGTCATTTAGTATTTAACTAATCATCGAATTTTTATAATATATCTAGATCGTACTTTGCTTCCCGTTGAGCGCAGAGCTTCTTTTAACAACTGAAAACTAAGACATGTAACACATAAGGATTATTCTTACTAAAAAATAATGCTTTCTCAAGTAATAATCCTACAACTACCTTTTTTACTCGTTGATAGCTTTTTGAGTTGGATTACAACTTACAAGACGTCCCTATGGGTTAAAACATCTTAAAAGTGGTTTTCTTCAGGCGATTGGTTTCCAGAACATTCCTGATATATATTCTATGCTATATGTCCTTATAAAATAGGTTAATGTACCATTTACGTAAAGCCGTCGTTACTTGAAGTAGTATGCGGTGGTTTTCATAGTAGTGTACAAAGTGTATTCTGAAACTTTGAAAGGCTGGCAGCCTGCATTGATTTCTTCAGAAGATTCTCATGATGACCACGAAGCTACATCACTTCAAATGTGCAATTTATGGCAAGATGATCGGGGATGACAGATTAAAACTATATCTATGAAAAAGTGATCTATTTTATATATCTACATGTAATATGTTAACAAATATATCTATATATCTGACAGTCATATACGTAATATGTTCCAAGTTTCAAGTTTTGCATTGACAACTCTTAACACTGCATTGAGAACTGCATATACATCAGAAGGTTCAACCTAAATAACCAGTGCACAATATGCTTGCAAGTTCCTGGTGACCAAACACTGGCCCAAATTCTATATAAGACCTGCGCTGTTTTCTAGTAGTTATATGAATGCTGAAGTGCAGCTCCTACATGCGGTGCACGGTCCCCATTGAATGTACTATTGTGATGTGACTCTTCAAGTCCAATTGAATGCGTTGTATCAGTCTGCGCCACTGCATGCACTTTTAAAAGTGAGCATGTATTACTCGCCACTGCACTGCATGCACTTTTAAACTGCAGGAGGCTCGGCGTCAGAGTGACCGACGCCGAGCCCGGTATTTTCATCGTGCCCAGCAGCTCGGCGCCAGAGACGCTGGCGCCTAGCTCGACGCCAGCATCAATGGCGCCGAGCTAAGGGTTCATTTTCTAAATTCTTTCCGACAGGGGTTTATTTGTGAGAAACTTAAAAAAAAAAGGGCAAAAATGTAAAAAATTCGGCCGCTCAAGCCCAAGGAGCTCCTGCGGGGCGCGCGGCCGAGCTTCCGGCTCGTCGGCGTCCTCCTGCTGGCGTCCCTCCTGGCCGGGACCATCGCGTTCTACCTCACCATGGACCACATGTCCGGCGACCGCACCGGGAGCCGCGTGGTGGACGCGCTCTACTTCTGCGTGGTCACCACATGACGACCGTGTGTACGGCGACCTCGTCCCGTCCAGCGACGCCGCCAAGCTGCTCGCCTGCGCCTTCGTCTTCGCCGTTGTGGCCCTCGTCGGCACGTTCCTCAGCAAGGCCGCCGACTACCTCGTCGAGAAGCAGGAGGCGCTCCTGTTCCGCGCGCTCCACCTCCGCCGTGCGGACGACCGCAAGGCGCTGCGCGCCATGGAGGCCAACAAGGTCCGGTACAAGCTCTACACCGCCGCGGCGCTCCTGGCCGTGATGCTCGCCTCCGGCACGGCGTTCCTCGTGGAGGTGGAAGGGATGCGCCCCGTCGACGCCTTCTACTGCGTGTGCGCCACCGTGACCACGCTCGAGTACGGCGACCTGAGCTTCTCGTCCGTGCCCGGGCGCGCGTTCGCGGCCGCCTGGATCACCGTGAGCACGGTGGTGGTGGCCCTCTTCTTCCTGTACGCGGCGGAGCTGGCCGCCGAGCGGCGCCAGCGGGCGCTGGCATGGTGGGTGCTCAGGCGCCGAACCACCTGCACGGACCTCGAGGCGGCGGACATGGACGGCGACCACCGGGTCGGTGCCGCGGACTTTGTGCTGTACAAGCTCAAGGAGCTGGGGAAGATCAGCCAGGAGGAGATCGCAGAGTTCCTGGAGGAGTTCGACGAGCTCGACGCCGACAACTTCGGCACCCTGTCGCCGCACGACCTCATCGTGGCACAGCCCGGTTAGCGCGGCAATCGCTGGCGGCCAGCAAGGCAGGTGGACTGAGTCAGCGTCTAGAGTATTCTCGACTAGCGTGCCACAGACGCACAGAGTTCTGTTGACAACTTTTGGAGCTGGGACATGCTGAAAGCTGTAGTAGGGCCAATTCTGTAGCCCAGTTTTTTTTTTCAATATTCTTTCTTGGGTCTGTGGTGGTTAGGGGTGATATTTTTTAACCGTATTCGAGACCGAATCCGTTTAGAAAAGTTCAGATATGTTCGTATCCGAGTTCGGATATTCATCATCCGATACTGTATCCGTATCCAAATAATCAAACCATATATTTATAATGTCGATATCCAATCGTATTCTATCCGTTATGGTTGACAATATTTATATTCAAATTCAAATCCGAACAGAAATATGAAAATAAATTTAATATCAGTGATATCCATTCGTATCGTCTTCGTTTTCGACTAATGTCTCGTGAAATTTAGGCCCCGTTTGACAGGGCTTCACTTCACTAGTGAAGCCATTTTTTTTGGCTTCAGCTCCACGAACAGCTCCACCGGTGGAGCTGAAGCGGTTTTGATAAACCGTTTGGCAAAATGGCTTCCCTGTGAGAGCATGTTTTTAGGGGCCTGGAGGAGGAGCCGGGAGAAGCCACTATTTTTGGCTCCTTCCCACCCCAAAGCTCTGTGAGAGCACGTTTTTAGGAGCTTTATCGGTGGAGACGTTTCATTTTACCCCGTTTGGTAGAAAACGGCTCCAAACGGCTCCTGAAGCCGCTGGAGAAGCCCTGCCAAACGGGGCCTTAATATCCGTCATGGTCGTGGGGTTATCCAGAGGATGGCTGCCACAGTGCCAAGTTGGGATCACGCGGTAGATGCAGCCCTTCACAACGTAGGTCTAGTCAAAACAGATGGCATATTTCGACTAATGTCTCGTGAAATTAAGAGTTGGCATATTAGAGTGTGTTTGGGATTGATCCACTTTAGTTTTTCTAGTTTTGATCCACCAACTTCACTATGGAGCAGTTTCAAAATTACAGCTCACAGCTCCACACTGGATGAGACGAGTCTGTATGGTATGCAGTTTGCTTGACTCCGGTTCTCGAAATAGGAGACTTTAGCCCTGTTCGCTGGGAGGAATTTGGAGAAATCTAAAAAAATCTGGAGAAATTTGTGAGAGCGTGAATAGTGTTTTTCAGCCGGGAGCAGTGAAATCCGGCTAAAAAACCAACTAGCCGAACGCAGCCTCTGCTGAGAATGGTCTAATATGCCCCTAGATTATGTTTGGTGTATGTTTTGATTTTTGTAAGCATATGTCATTTGCAATTGCAACTCATTTAGTTAAAAGACACATACGGCACATTTTATTAACATCAACTACAGAAACAAGCAAAACGTTTTTAATTTCATAGGATCTAGATCATAATATTTTCATTAAGCAAAAGGGTAGTATTTTATATAATAGAATGCCACAAATACTGTATATAATGATTCTATACAATAAAATTTCCCTAACCAGAGTAAAATACAAATGACATCTGGATATGGAACTTCTCATGTGGTGAAATCTCGTACTTCACCCTTTGACCATTTGAACATCCAGAGTCCCGTGTTAAGAAAAAATAATTTCACAGAACTACGAGAATTAGAAATATTCATAATGCAGTACATATCTTAGTTATTTGAATGCTAAAATACAGAACTAGTTGATATCTACATGAAAATTATGGAACCCTTAACTATTAGAGAAAAAAACATCGATAGAAAAATAGAAAATATCGACAGGAAAGTTCAAAACCAATTTCCATGGCGCACCGTCAGGCAATAACTGCCAGGGATAGAGGACAAGGAAATTTGATAATGCCTGACGGTCAACCGTCAAGGAAATTGAAAATTAGTTCTCTGACGGTGTCTTGCCATCAGGAAAACAAAAATCCGTTAGATACCTACCTCTGTCGGTGTATATCGACAGGGTATTTAGACATCACCCACATGAAAACTATTTTTTGTATGAGACATCACCGACATAACAAATTGTTAATTTTCCTATCGGTGTGTTCATCACCGTCAAATAATTGTTATTTTTCGGTTAGCCAAAACCAACAGGATAATTATATTGCATCACAGTTGTGGGGGGTACGACCCCGGATACCCACGGCAAACTACATGGGCTGCGCTCCCAGGGGCGATCCAGCCCACAAGACGAAGCATTGCAGAGCACGGTGCTGCTCGGTGTGCCCCGCAAGACACCGGGAAGATATCCTGAAGATACTACGAGATCTGTTAGAATACGTTCGATCCCATTATTCCTGTAATCTGTTATTACTTTCCGGTTATCTCCTAGATCTAACCGACTTGTAACCTTGCCCTCCAGACTATATAAGGTGGGTAGGGACCCCCTCAAAACACAAGCAATATCATACGAAGCCAATACAATCCAACAGACCACAGGAGTAGGGTATTACGTCGCGCTGACGGCCTAAACCCGTCTAACTCTTGTGTCTCTGTTGCCCTTCTTGTTCTCGATTACACGTATCTCTGTCGATCAATCTACCTTCGTGGGATACCCCTCGGAGAACTGCCGACGATATTTTGTCTACAATTGGCGTGCCAGATAGGGGTGTGCATGCTGTTTCCATGTCGAACAAGATGGTACGTTTTGCCGGCTCTTCGTCCCTCCCATAGCCCGGCCAGATCTTCACAGTCGGATCGATCTCCTAGGTCATCAACGCTGACGGAGATGGAGAGCTCATCGAGCCGGTGCAGATCAATTCTGCGCCGATCACCCCAACACCTGCGACTGCAGATCCGATCTCAGAACCGCCTCCGAGGTTGTCTTCACCAATAATTCGCCGCCCGCTCCCCCGCTACCCAAGAAGGCAGATCAACAACGACGATCTGATCGAATCCATCGATCAGGTTGGCTGGAAGCTCGCCGATTGCCTCTCCATGGCGGAATCGGCTCTGACCACTCTGGTTCAGCGCCGACCACCCTCCGATTCAGATCCATTGGAGGTGATCAGGAAACTCCAGGGGTTACGGCCCTACCCTTTGGGCTCACCAGCATCGCCGCGTCCTACTAAGATGCCCTAAGGGGCAAATTCACCGACCAGATGGGAGAAAACTATCCTCTTGCCGACCAGACCGCCGACCAACTCTCGCCGACTATCAACATGCTACATGTCGGCCAACGCCCCGAAGCGTACCTCTAAACCATCCTGGAGGAAAATCCAGACTCCGAGTCTCAAGGCTCTACGGAGACTGCCGCCGAAACCACCGCCGTACAACCTGCTTTCCCACCCTTCCGTGGAGGCAGAATTTTTAATGTCAGCGTCGACAGCCCCCCACGGGATGGGGAAACCGATGAGGACCGCGCCACTCGTGTCAATAGGAACACCAACCGTGCGCAGCGCCGAGCAAACAAAGCAGCCATTGTGCTAGCTGAGGCTGCTCGCAACGAACAGCTTGACTCGCAAGGGAGGCTACGCCCACTCCAACACAACCTCGATGACGAATTCATCCGTGTCGACGGCCATGACGTCTACAAGACCCCAAGCGCCAACTTGGCCATGGCTGCTAATGAGCTCGCCTGGCTCGAGCAAACACAAGAGGTCGCCAAAGGTCGCCGCCATGCTTAAAGCGGCGCACTACCAGGTCAACGAGATCCGCTAGGATCAGAGACCTTCCTACTCGACGAGCTCGATTCATTGATCCGCCACGCCAAGATCCAATCGCCGCCCCAGCCAAAGTCGTTCGCTGACCAGCACCGCGATAATGGACAACCCCTCCAGGGGGAGCTAGGGGGAACCGCATTGACCACCCTCGCCAACACGACCAAGAAGTTGACCAAGACATCCGAGCGCACATCAACAATCTCTAGGACGTGCGACGTCATATTGTCGGGCGCCGTTTCTCTCACCATGAAGAAGTACGCCAGCGTCAAGAATACGAGCAAGAGTTTGGTAATCCAGACTCAGCCCTCCAGCCACTCAACACTGGCAACACCGAAGATCAAGATGGCGATGATCCCAAATGGCCCCAAGCATTCACGAGGGCACTCCGAACACTCTAGTGGCCTTGTGGTTTCAAAATCACCGGGGTCGAACCCTACGAGGGATGGATGAACCCCACACAGTGGCTACAAGCTTATGCCACTGCTGTGCGCACCACCAGGGAAGATATCAACGTCATGGCAAACTATATTTCCATCATGCTCACGCCAACTGCGATGAACTGGTTCACAAGCCTCGCCCTGGACTCCATCGGATCCTAGGAAGAGCTGAAGAAGGTCTTCATCGACTACTACATGGCTACGTGTACTCGGCTGGGCACCAAGCATGATCTGAATCGCATCTACCAGAAACCGTTCGAGCTCCTCCATAGCTACATCAGACGCTTTTTCGAGATGAGGAATTATATTCCCAACATCACGAAAGTAGAGGTCATCACCACCTTCGTCCGAGGACTCCATCACCACGACCTCCGCTCCAAGTTCAATCGCAAGCCACCAAAGGGGATTGGCGAGACAATTACGACCACCAATCAGTATGCCGACGCCAAAGAGGCCGAAGTATGCTTCAACGAGGATGCGGGCACTCACCGCCCAACTCGCCGCAGCGATAAGTGACCCGACGACCGATGCCACAGTGATAACCACTATGACGACCGTAGTCACCATTGGGACAGTGGCCGTGATCGGCCAGAAGGGTCCAAATCTAGTCAATATCACCGCCGCCGACCAGACCACATCATCGCCGCCGTTGACGAACCTCGCGCCAAGCGCAACTACGACGAGTAGTACAAGAAGATCCTCGAAGGCCCGTGTCCCCTCCACAAGAACAACATAAGATGAAGGACTGTCTTGGCTTGGCTAAGGAGTTCCATGCTAAAAAGCCGGACGACAACAACAACGATAGAGCCAGAGGCCACCGACCACCGACCACCTGGGGACAACAACAACGCCTTCTAGGATCATGACAAAGTGGTCGCCACTATCTTTGGGGGCCTCGCTGCTGC